GTGATCTAAACTCCACTCATCTATCACTTCAATGTTTTTGTTGTTGTTGTTGTTTTTAATTCCTGAGAAAGAGAGACAGTGTGAGCAGGGGAGGGACAGAGAGAGAGAGAGAGAGGCACAGAATCTGAAACGGGCTCCAGGCTCTGAGCTAGTTGTCAGCACAGAGCCCGATGCGGGGCTCGAACCCACGAACTGTGAGATCATGACCTGAGCTGAAGTCAGCCGCTTAAGCGACTGAGCCACCCATGCGCCCCTCATCTATCATTTCAAATTCAACTTGGGGGTGAATCGCTTTTACAAAAGGTAGGCTAAACATCCCTCACCCAAATACGCTTAAACACTAAACGCAGGTAGTTTCAAATATTTTATAAATACTAAAGTAGGAGGCAGAGGCAAAAACATACGCGTCAGACTAAGTAAGGAAAAAACCCATCCTCTAGGCAAAGGGGGATATCAAGGAAATTAAAGCGGCTGTCCAGTGCAGTTAGCAGGAGGGAAGAAGGAAAGAAAATACAGAAAACAAAGGGCGAATGGAAGGATGAGAGAGAGCAAGGGAAGATGAAATAAAGCGAGGCAGAACCTCAGATAAAGATCAGGAAGACAGGTCTACAGGGTAGGTATGAGGGCAGGGAAAATGCAGGAACAGAGTACAGAGGGGCGCAAGGGCCCAGCATTAGAGAGACATGGGAGTCGTGCAGAGGAGTTGAGCAGATGGGAGTGGGTACTGGGGGCCCCGGGGAGGACTTCTGTACCGAGGTGACCACCAAACTGCCAGGTCCCAGGTCTTCCCTTAGGGAGTTAGAGGTGACGGCGGTGACTTGCTGGTCCATGGCAACCTCCTTGCTCCCTGGGCCACGGCGGGCGTCCGCTTACCAGGAGGCGCCCGGGGTCCGCGAGCTGCCGAGCCTGCGCAGAGGACCCGCGAGCAAACCGCCCCCTTCGCGTCGCGCGCTGGGGAGAAGGGAGGCGGGCACACTGAGGTCCCGCCCCGAGCCTGGCGCCCGCGGAATCGCCCCAGCCTGTCACGCACCTGTGCAGTTAAAGTCTAGAGGGCTCTGGAGGCGCCACGGAGTCCTGCGCCAAGGAAGGCTTGTAATAAAAGATGGTTTGTGGGAGCTTGAGTGTACCATAATCCCCACCGGCCTTTTCCCAGATTACCCCCACCCCACACCTCAAGGCAGGGAGACGGTGTGCTTGGTAGGCATACCTAGCTTTAGAGCGAAAATCAGCCTTAGCATCCATTGGTTAAGGTTGTTTCTAAACTCCTCCGGATTGAAATTCTGGGGGTGTCTCTTCTACTGCCTCTTGATTTGAGGAGTAAGCACTAGAGACGATGGGCTTCCCTAGCTGTGAAACCAAGAACCACCCTGCTGATAAACATCCGCATCTTTACACTCTCCCCTCAACCTTAATAATTTCATTTTATGGAGAACCTGTGGTGTTGTCAGCACTTCACACACATTAATCTAATTCAGTCTTCGCAACAACCCTGTGAAATAAATACTAACCTCATTTTATGGGTGAGGAAACAGAGGCTTCTCTTTGGACAGGTTAGCATATATATAGTTCACTGGGCATCGCTTAGAAGGGGCAGAGGCAGAGTTCAAATCCGGGACTTGGTCCAGCACCCCACTGTCCACTGTACCAGAAAGTTTCTCCTTCCTTTCACAAATTTCAATAGACTTTTGCCTCCTACACTTTCCTAAAACTATCTTAATCTGGCATGTGTACACATCTTTCTATTAAAACTGGACTTGCTAGTCAGTGACCCAATTACCAAATCCAATGCGGATTTTTCAACTATCAAACTTGACCTTCACTTGTCATTGCTGTATTGATTACTCCACTACCTCATTCTTGAATCCCTCTCCTGCCTGGACTATCAGGATTTGACCACTCACTGCATCTGCTGTGATTTATTGTTTATAAAGTTGATTAATAAAATGGTACCTACCCACACCAGGTTGTTGTAGAGACTAATCTGAGTGAAATGTGTGGAACCATGCCTAGCATAATACATTTAGTAAATATGGACTGTCATTATCATCGCCTTTGGGACAAAAGCAAAATTCACAATCTCCTCTCCTTTCCCTCATTAAAACCTCATGCTCAGATGTATACTTCGAAATGCCAAATATGCTATCTTCACAGTCTCCCCTTAATGCTATTTATTCCTTTTTGACAACCTGGCAAACCACAAGAGTCAACTCCTTTGGGAAGTCCTCCTTAACCTAATCCTTTGTACCCCAAAGTCCCCTGTGCCTATCTTTACTGGAGGATTCATTTTGACAAATCATTGCCCCACTAATTTTTAAATATGTCACAAACACAGGTTTTTGTCTTAATTCTGAGTCTTCTGAACATAGGAGGAGGGATTAAAATATTTGAACATATGGCTGACCACTTTTCCTGCCTATTATATAAAACCAGAGGGTGGACTAGCACAGTGCTTTTCAAATAATAATGTGCATACAAAACATTTGGGCATCTTAGGAAAATACAGATTCAGATTCTAAGGCAGGGCCTAAGATTCTGTAGGGGACTTTTCAAGAGTGAGAGACTAGAAGGCTCCATATTCTATGGGGCACCTTGGTGGCTGTTTGTTAAGCATCCGATTTGTCTTGCACTTCATGGGTTTGAGCCCCACATTGGGCTCTCTGCTGCCAGTGCAGAGCCTGCTTGGGATCCTGTCTCCCTTTCTCTGCCCCGTCCCCTGCTCATGCATGCATGCGTGATCTCTCTCCCTCTCTCAAAAATATACATTAAAAAAAAAATAATTCGGTGCTAAATTCAACAGTCTAAAAAATACTAAAGCAAGGGGAGGGGGAACAATCAGGCATCAAGTTTGAAATCAAGAACTGAAATTATAAGGCCAAGAGGCTAATAACCAGAGTTTTAACAAATGGAAGAGATTAAATCAAGTACATCACTGTTCCTCATTTCACTTTCTTATTTTGGCTGAGCCTGTAAAACTGGCTCAGCAGACTAGGGACTGGTACTCTAGAGATTAAAGGAATATGATGAAAGGTACAGAGAAGTCTAGAAACCCATACAAGGTGTGAAATAGAAAAGTACATCTAGATGAGAAAATAGTTTTGCGTATCTCAAAAATAGAAACAGCATAGGTCAATCAATGACTTCTAGGACTTCACCAGTAAGACAGATTAAGTATGTAGGATAAACAAAATGTCCTCGTAAGAAAACATAGTCTTGTACAATATCACTGAGAAAACCTTAAGATTTATTTTCATGTTATCCTAACAGTTTTAAAAGAGAGGAGGCATTTGAGAATACAAGAGTACGTAAGAATAGAGGTCAACAGCACCTCTGTTACACATCAGATATTTAATAAAAATTCTGTAAAATATGTTCTGAAGTATGGATCATTTTTATTAACTGCAGTAGTGGTGATTTTTGTTAGAATTATCTATTAGAATGGGGGTAAGAATTATCAATTACCATAATCCTGCTAAACTAAAACAGGCAATATGGTTAAGATTTGAAGATAGGACTAAAAGTTTCAAAATTGGTCCAGGGTTCCCGAAGACTGTTGTAGGAAGTAGAACAGAGATATGAATCCTGCTCAGTATGTGCTAAATATAACCCATTATATAAAACTGCTCATTTCAATTTCCTATAAAATAAAAATGCCAATTTTGTGGCTTTGAAGATTAGAACATAAAAATTAGTATGATATACCAAAGTACCCCAAAATAGTGATCCCTTCCACCCTGTTAACCTAGGTAAACTTCAAAATGTAGGGATTGGAAAAACTGTTGGAACTGCAAAAAGATTAACTATAATCTTAATAACATAGTAACATCGATTGAATACTTACTGCAAACACCAAGGACTATGCTAAATACTTTACCTTCATTATTGTAGAAGTTAAAAACCAGTTGGTTTTTAAACCATTTTGCAGGCAAGATAAATGAGGCCTAGGTAATATTGACCTCTTCAAGTGTTACACACAGCAGTGATCTGCACACTCATGAAATAAAACTCCAAAGCCCGTGTTTAATACACCGGAGACTACTATGCCTCAACACTCAGGCATATTAATCTTCTCCCCCCCAAATACCTTGCTGGCCCTCCGTTTTTACTTGTTACATGTAGTAAAGGTCTTTCTATTTAATTGTCTGTGTAACATGTAATAATCCCATTAGGATTATCAATGCCTGTACTTTCTCTCTAAAACCTACTTATTAGCTCTCTTTTTCTTCACTAACCGTCCAGTTTTCTATTTACTGGTACAATCAATAACAATGGTATTAAAATAGTCCAAGATGGCAGTAGCCTGACAAATGAATCCCCCGCCCCGTGAAGATAAACCTTGTGGCTACAATAATCAGATAACAATTATACTCAATATTTTAATCTTGGCACTGGTTTGCTATGAAATCTTCCATTAAGCTTTTAAAAGGTAGCTGAAACAAACAGAAAAACCCTGATAACCACTTTTTGAGTAGCTTAGAGAGAAAGCAACGGCTTAGAAGCAAGCAAGAACTAAAACCAGAAGTGCCATTCCACTCCTAAAGAGAACTTTCTTTGTGAAACATGTTGCAGATAGGCAGGATAACCGAAAGTTCTTTGTCTTATGAAGAAAAAGTACTATGAAAAAAACACTAGTAGATAGAAGTAAAAACATAACAACACCCTTCCCTCCTTTTGGGTTTTTATAACAGAAATATTTTAAAAAATCATTGCATAGCTGAAGTTAATACAGACAAGTGGCTATGCCAAAGTTGAAAAGTATGTAAAAAAGATAGGAAACACTAAACACCTACATTATGTCAGTTCCCATGCTAGGTACACTTATAAAAGGTGTTTTAATCTTTCACTTAAACCTTTTGAAGAAGTATTATAATTTCAAAACTAAACACAATCTAGATAGCAAAAACAACAACAAAACCATCTAAATTATAGTAAGTAAAAACCACCCCATTTGATTCTCAAAATTGACCTCAAGTTAATGAAATGACTCAGATTCAGAGCAACAGTTGGGTAAATTGTAATTTTTTTATTGGAAAACAAATATACAACTTGGAATGGATTTGAGGCAAATTGTGCCATAAGCAGATTTTCTTTAAGTGGCTAAACAAAGTTTAAAAAGCAAGTAACAATAAAAGAAAATGTTTCTGGTACAGGACCAGCAGTACAAAAAAATAGTGTACGAGTACCTGGATAATACACCCGTTTTGCAATAGTGCAACTTTTAAGTACATATTGTTGACTGTCCATAGTCCACGCAGAGTTACAACTCCACACTTCAACAACAACATGCTGACAATTCCTAAAGAAAACTACTTAGAAAAAAGGCATAACCCAGATGTTCCCTCATTTGACCAACTCCATCTAAGTTTAGATGTGCAGAAGGGCTTAGATATATCCAGAGTAAGCCACATGCAACATGTTACTTGATCAATTTTCTAAAATAAGGTTTCAGGACAATGACAGTAAGATAAGGGAAGAAAACATGGAGGAATAAGTCCTAATTACTATACATGCATATTTTTTGACAGCAGGGGGAAACCTTTTACAGATAAGTTACAAACAAAGAAAAGGCAAATAAACAATTTTGTACAAGAAATTTAACACATTCTGTACAATGTCTTCACTTTGCTGTCATCATTTGTACAAACTCTGAAAAAGAAGAAGTACACAAAAAGTTGCATCAATGGCAAAAGACTAACAAAACCAATCATATTACTCAATCTCTGAGCAGTCTCCATTTCCCCTTTTGTTCCTCAAAACCACCATATGGTACAGAGGAAAAAGCTAGTTTACTTAGACTGTCAAGGCTGGAACTCTATAAACCAAAATTATTAAGGCTTATTAATCAATACATCAAATTTATGCTTTCAACAAGCTATTATAAATAGAAATATTCTTGGTATAACACGATAATTTTGAATGGAAGCACAAGTAACCAGTTTCAGCCTAAAGCTAATTAGAGGGAAAATAAATCCAATGAAGGGAAATCACCTTAATTTCATTTTGAGGATACTGAAATAAGTTTAAAGATTTTCAAACTGTTCCACAATCATTATACAAAGATCAATTTAGCAGTTTAGAGTACAGTGCTTCTCAAACTTTAATGTGCATATGAAACTGCTCGGCAATCCTGTTAAAATGCAGATACTAGGTAGACTAGGACTTGAGAGTAAACCGTTTTAAAAGTTCTCAGGTGGGGCACCTGGGTGACTCAGTCAGTTGAGCGTCTGACTTTGGCTCAGGTCACGATCCTGCAGTTCATGGGTTCGATCCCCACGTCGGGCTCTGTGCCGGCAACTAGCTCAGAGCCTGGAGCCTGCTTCAGATTCTGTGTCTCCCTCTCTCTCTGACCCTCCCGTTTATCCAGTCTCTCTCTCTCTCAGATATAAATTTAAAAATAAATAAATAAAAGTTCTCAGGTGATCGTGATTTTTGCCTAGTATATAAAATACTCTAAAAAGCTAAAAGTTTATAAATATAAAAACCTGTTTTAGCTTCTTTATTGGAGGTATCCCTAATTTTGACCTATCAGATACCTAACAAATAGCTATAACTTAAAATCAAAATGCAGACTGAGGTAGTGAAAGGCTTACCTTCATAGTTTACTTGACCATCACCATCAATATCTGCTTCCCTGATCATTTCATCAACTTCTTCATCTGTTAACTTCTCTCCCAGGTTTGTCATCACATGGCGAAGCTCTGCTGCACTAATATAGCCGTTGCCATCCTAGAAAAAAATTTAATAAAATATCTAACTGAAATTACAGACTTAGAGTTGGCATGGAAATTTAGTAAGTTTATGCCAAACTTCACATTAGGGAGAAAAATATACTTTAAAAATACATACCAACTAAAAACAATCTATAGTTGAACAATAAATTAAAGATCACTGAGGACAAAGCAGGATAACCTACGTTGAAATCACCATTTCTTAGTTCCAAAGTCAAGTGATGCCTCTTTGCCAAGATTCATCCTCAAAATTTAACGAATTCAATCACTGAATACCTACCTTATCAAACACACGGAATGCTTCTCTAATTTCTTCTTCACTGTCTGTATCTTTCATTTTTCTTGCCATCATTGTCAGAAATTCCGGGAAGTCAATTGTGCCATTTCCTGAAATGGTTTGTTTAGTTGAAATATTACAGTAGGATTCAAATAACCCTCTTTGACTCCCCCACCCCAAACAGACCCCCAATTAAAAAAAAAAAAACTTACCATCAGCATCTACTTCATTAATCATGTCCTGTAACTCTGCTTCTGTGGGATTCTGCCCAAGAGACCTCATTACAGTTCCCAATTCCTTTGTTGTTATAGTTCCATCACCATCCTTGTCAAATAGTGAAAAAGCTTCTTTGAATTCTGTTTTAAAGAGAGACCAATCCAAATATACAAATTAACAAATTAACAAGACCTTGTGATATTTCAAACATCTTTGGCTAATCATACCTATATATGTTCATATTGACCTATCAGCAATTTTTTTCACCTAAAATCTTACAGAGAGCTCGCTCCAATATCAAGAACAGGTAAAAGTCAAAATTATTCTGTATTCAAAGAGGCAAAGAATCAAAGCTTCTCTATTTTCTACTGAAGCTCTTAATAGAAAAAATAAGACTATGGTACCCAGCATGTGTTTCCATAGAGCAACTATATGCATTATGTCTGAAGTAATCCTCAAAAGTTAAAAAATAAAGTCTATTTAAGAACCTACTAATTTAAAAACAAAAAAACCCTTTAAACTTCAGAATAATATGCAATAGGCTAGTTTCCTTTTCTGAGATCTAAGGAACTATCATCACATAATCTACATGATATTAATAACAGGATGATCAAGATATGAATGGTTAGTTGTAGCTAAGTACTGTATTACTAAAAACAAAGACCTTTATTTAGAATATAAAATCCAGGGGTGCCTAGGTGGCTCAGTCAGTTAGATCATCTCACGGGTTCATGAGTTCGGGCTCCACATCAGGCTCTCTGCTATCAGGACAGAGCCTGATCCAGAAACTGTCTCCCTCTCTCTCAAAAATAAACATTAAAAAAAAAAGAAAGAGAATATAAAATACCAAACTTTTAATAAAGTAGAATATATTATTTCCTTAGATCTTTAAGATGTTTTATGAAATTATGTTCCTTTTAACTCACCACTGGATTACAAAGAAAGCTGTTGGAGCAACAATCCAGGATACCTGGCTTCACCATTTATTTTATAATCTAAAGCAGAGATTAAATTTGGTAATTCGAGGTCATGTAAATGAGCTAGTAACAAAGCCAGTATTTTCTGGTAGGGTATTTTTAAAAAGGTATCAGACCCTATCAGCATGCAAATCCAAAAGCAGTTCCAAATTTCACAGGGCTGAGTTCCCTCAACCTATCTATCCATGTGAAAATGTGTACCTGACATGTTTTAAGAAATAGTGTGCTTCCTCTTTTATAATCCAAGGCTATTTATTCCCCCCTGCCTTTTTATCCTTGCTCCATTTCATACTCCTCCCAGTTTCAATCCATCATAAGCTCTTCTCTGGACTAAACTACTCTTCCAGTGATATCACCATTAACATAATATCATGTCTCTTATGCTTAAAACTAAATTCAAACCCTGTATTTTCTCTTTACGTGCTTACCCTTATCTTTCCCCCAATCTTGGGAAGCACCATCACTCATATACACTTCTACCAATCCACTATTAAAATTACTTCAGCTCCACTCATCAGTTGAAAATGCCAAGTTTACCAATAACAACCTAGTTGCCCAATCGAACAAGTGTGCTTAAGTATGTGAGGCCATATAGCATAGAAACTAAAAAGCAGACTTTGGAACTCAACCACTTGGGTTACTAGTAATGTAACCTTAGGCACATTAAGTTACTACCTCAGCTTCCTCCTTTTTGTTAAGTAGGAATAATTGTACCTACTTACTAAGTTTATGAATTTAACTGAGAAGCATAAAGCACTCAAAGCTATGTCTGACAAGTGTCAAGAAAAAGATTATCTCATTTTCCTGCAGCATCCAAAACAACACTGAAAAAACTCTAAACTCTTGGCTTTCACAAGAGTACTTCAGCTTACCTCCTAGCTTACACTGTCAAAAGCTCTTGCTTGTATTTATCTTTCACATGTAGATGTGACCAATCTTCTTATCCCTTTTCTTCTCTCTGGCCATTTCATCTATGTCCACTTATAACGAAGACTTCTTTAGTCTATCAACTGCAGTCCAAAAGTAGATGCTCCTTCTGGCATACTGCCAGGTCAACAGCAGCCTAACACTACATCACAGTGTCTGTATCATTCACCACACACTTCATCTCATCACGCAAACATTTTATTACCTTACACCATCATAAGAAGGGTGAGTACGCTATGAGAGACCACACTCACGTTACATTACAGTATATTGTTATAGCTGTTATTGTTGTTCATCTTTTCATAGGTATGTGTGCATAGGAAAAACCAGAGTTTGGTACTGTCAGTAGTTTCAGGCATCCACTAGGGTCTTAGAATGTACCCCTTCCCACCCTACAGTATCTTTATTTCGGACTTCCTACAGAACATCTCCCCTGGCTGACCCCAAGCAAGACTTACGAAAAAGAATTCTATATTCCCCAGCAACCCTAGGAATGCAAGCAGAAGACATTTTTAACTTTTTCCCTCTGAATAATACTGCTTCATTCCTTTTACATCTCTACAAAACATTATCTTGTTTAATGGCACTGTCATCTTTTGCCTAGACTGTTACAACAGCCTTCTAACTGGATTCTTTATTTAAAATTCCCCGGGGCACCTGAGAGGCTCAGTCGGTTAGGCATCAAACTTGGGCTCAGGTTAAAGATCATGAGTTCGAGCCCCTGGTCAGGCTCTGCACTGACAGCTTACAGCCTAAAGCCTGCTTCAGACTGTCTCCCCCACCCCTCTGCCCTTCCCCAGCTTGTGTTCAGTCTCTCAAAAATAGATAAATGTTAAAAAAAAAAACAAAAACAAAATTACCCACACAACTACCTGGTCTTATTACTACCTTTTTAGATTGCCACATTACTTTCTTCTGCTTGAAATCTAATTGTTTAGCTTTAGACCAAGTTATCACTGACTAGCTGAGTAATTTACTACATTCAGTAATAAAACAGCTCCATTCCATTTAATATTGTTTGTTTTCAGAGAACTCCCCTCGTATCAGAAGCTTAGTGGCAAAGTAGGATTGATTTTATGAAATTAGCATATAGATTAACTAGATTGACTCTGACAAAAATAGATCAATAAATCCCACAAGTAGCAGAATTTGAAGACACTTTCATTTTACTCAGGTTCCCCCTCGCCCCACCCCAAGCAGGACATAGAAGTACTGTCTAGAAATGCATAAACTATTCAGGTTTGAACACACGGCATCTATCATCTAATAACTTAAGTCACAAGAAAATTATCTTTATATATAAAGGCACGCCATTCTAAACAAGAGATTCCCTTAAATGCCTGTTTACCAACTTCCATGTATTCAGGAAATTCTGAACTTAATAATCTCTTAAAGGCCATGTATCAGACTTTTGTCAGCACTTATGTAAATGGAGGAAGATTATTATTTTTATCAAATAAGTTTTACCCCTACAATGGAACTTCAAAAAAGAAAAATTCTTGTAGGTTTTTCTTATTATTAGTCCCCTAAATGTCAAACACCAACAACTGACATCATGGCAGGGTCATTCAACAAAATTAACTTGTTAGTAAGGTCACACTGGAGTCTTCTGGATTGCTCTTTAAGACTAGGTAATGTGAACAATTCTAGTAACTTAATCTAAACAAACATGCTTTTTCTAGATTAAGTTATTTGCTGTTAGAATTTCTAAACAAATCTGAAGTGGTAATGATTATCACATGAAGATAAAAGTAGCTTAAAAAGTACCTTCGTATATTGAATGTTGATTTATTTATGAAGCTTGTTAACATTTTTTTTTTTGATAAGGACTCTAAAATGTTACTGGTTCCCCAGCAATTACATTTATCAGGATAAAGAAAATAATTTGCCTCTACCTCAAAGGTGGACATTAAAACAATCAAATTTAGGAGGAAGGGATTTTGGATGGAAGCAGACTAATTCTTAGGATACAGTAGATGGTGTTCTGGAACCTTTGAAAAGTGTATGCATCCTTCAGTCCTCACTATGTGTGATGCACAGGGGATACAAGAGGCAACAAAAAGGTCCCGGATCTCACAGGGTTTTATTTTAGTGGAATAAAAGCTTTGGTTTTTCTAAACCCTGGGGTCCAAGGAATGGTTTTAAAAGTCTAGGAAGGGACACCTGGGTGTCTGAGCTGGTTAAGCATCCGACTCGATTTCAGCTCATGATCTCATGGTTCATGAGTTCGAGCCCCACATCTGGCTCTGTGCTGTCATAACAGTGTGGTGCCTGCTTGGTATTCTCTCCCTCCCTCCCTCCATCTGCCCATCCCTTGCTTGCTCTATCTCAAAATAAATAAACAAAAATAATTTAAAAAATAAATACAAACCTAGGAAAATGCATGGTAGGGAGAGAATCTAAAATAGATTTTCTCTCATCTCCACTGGAAATTTAATTATATGATGAAAGTCAACGAAAAGACCAAATTTATCTTAAAGTGAATGTTCCAGTGAACCACTACTAGAATTCTTAAGAAAATACTATCAGTCTTTGAAGACTCATCATCTATTTTCTCCTTAAAGTGAACATGCTATGTTGTATACAGCAGGACTAACTATTGAATAGGAATACCAAGAAATTAAAAGCAGACAGGGAGGTAAATATATTAGAGGAGAATTTAAGACTGGAAATATTAATTAGCCCAACAGATCCTAAAGGAGACATTATTAACAACAACAACACTAGAGTAATTTACATTTCACTGACACATTTAAAATAATATAAATGAAGAAATTATTTCCAAAGCTCTGCTTGATTGCTTCAGCACTCAGTACATGCAGTTTATCAATTCTAGAAAGCAAATCCCAGATTTAAGTCAAATTCACACAGTAAGTAAAAATAAAACCTACTTATATTTGGTCCTTAATGCTAAGAGCTTTCTCCTCTACACAGTCCTGTTATTTGTGATGAATGTATAAGAAGACTAGTGATTTCTGGGCACTCTAAATTTGTGTTTACATTGGTAGGGGCTTACTTTAAATGGGCTATACAGTGGAGTTCCAAGTGGGCTTCTCAGTTTTCTCTAGCATTAAAAAAAATGCTTTAGTGATTTTGAACACTTAAAACTTCTTGCCTACCAGGAAAACTGGTAGTTAAAACCGCTTGATGCTTGTGTTGTTTTTTTAATCTTTTTTGTAATGTTTTATTTATTTCTGAGAGAAAGAGACAGCATGAGCAGGGGAGGGTCAGAGAGAGGAGGAGACACAGAATCTAAAACAGGCTCCAGGCTCTCTGAGGTAGCTGTCAGCACAGAGCCTAATGCGGGGCTCAAACCTACAAACCGTGAGATCAGGACCTGAGCAGAAGTCAGACGCTCAACTGACTCAGCCACCCAGGCGCCCCTGATGCTTGTGTTAATAGTCTGAAGCAAGGAAGAGTTTGAAAAGCATTTTAACACTACAATGAATTCACAAATTCTAATCTAAGTTTTTTTGTAAAGATAATGGTTATCCCGGATTGATTCCATGTGCAACTCTAGGTTAAAATATGAGCTACTTTAAACTGGGGTAAATTCAATGTTCCCTTTCTGATTCAACATTTCAAGTTACCTATTAATTACACCTTGGTTCTTTTTTCTTGTGAAGCGTAATTTGGCAATACTAAAAAACAGTCAGAATTCACCCGAAAGATAATCTTCAAGAAAAAAAAGACCACCACCACCAAGCTCCAAAGTATATACCCACAAAGACTAAAAACTTTCCTTTAAATTTTTTTTTAATGTTTATTTTTGAGAAAGCGATGACAGCAGTGAGCCCAATGCAGGGCTCGAAATCACAAACCATGAGGTTTGAGCCGAAGTCACAGGCTCAGCTGACTAAGCCAACCAGGTACCCCCAAAACTTGCCTTTATTTAGTTAGCTCCAGACATCTTTCACAGGCAAGCATGCCTTCTCATTTGCCAAAGCAGATTCCATTACTATATTACATTACACCCATTTGTTACTATCTACTACATAGATCAAAATGAATTATTTACATATATATTTTAAAATATTTATTTTTCTGGGGCGCCTGGGTGGCTTAGTCGGTTAAGCGTCCGACTTTCGCTTAGGTCATGATCTCGCGGTTCGTGGGTTCGAGCCCCGCGTCGGGCTCTGTGCTGACTGCCGGCTCAGAGCCTGGAGCCTGTTTCAGTCTGTGACTCCCTCTCTCTCTGACCCTCCCCTGCTCACGCTGTCTCTCTCTCTCCTAGAAATAAATAAAAATATTAAAAAAAAAAAAATTTATTTTTCAAAGAGGAGAGAGAGAGAGAGAACTCGAGTGGGACAAAGTGCGCTCTGTGCTAAAAGCAGGCAGCTAGCACAATGAGGGGTGCAAACTCACTGGGAGATCAAGACCTAAGCTGAAATCGGACATATAACTGACTGAGCCACCCAGGACCCTAAAGTAAATTCTTTCATACAAGCATCTTATTTTGAAGTTGGCTATTCACTTTATAATAAACTCCAATGGGTACAATTTATTATTTACCTGCAATCTGCTCTTCAGTCAGTTGGTCAGCCTACAAAGAGATCACAGAGAGGTAAGTGAGTATACAGATTAGCAGTTAAATTAAGAAACAGGTTTTAAAACTTTCAAGTTTTACCTTGTACAGTAAACTGCATTTAGTCTAACATTCCTTAGTATGAGCAACAAACAGAAAATGCATACATCTGGTTTATCTTCAAAGCTAAATTGTCTTGACCAAGTTTTAGTACTTAAACCAAATATTTCAGAATACATATCAAAGTCTAAATTTCACACAAACTGGGGAAAAAAAGCAATTTGGCATACTAGAGTACTAGAGAGTTTAAATGGAGTTGTTATTCTTCTAAAGCAAGGATAGACTCCAACAAAAACATTATTTCCTTTCTCAAAATTAGGATACCTAAACTTAAGCTCACCTCCTCTAGCAGATGAAAACTACTATTAGAAGAAATGTCCACTGAACCAAAAATATGTCCAAGGACTACATTCAAAGTTACCCCTAGAAATGGTTAAACATATCATTTGGACATGAAAAAGATTTTCCAAACCTTAAAAAAAAAAAAAAAAAGTAAGCGAAAATCCCATCTATTATAAAGCTAAAACTCCAAGCTGTCCTAATTGGTGCAACAGGAAAGCTACCAGGCAACTGTGGGGGGGAATCCAGGATTCTAAACACTTGAACTACATTATTTACTAAATGTTAAGTCCAACTATCCATTTTCTCTTGACTTTTGAAACCCCAAAGTGAACCTAAGGCTTTTTTAAGCACAGAGAAGAGTTACTTATTTTTGCTTAAAAAAAAAAAAAAAAAAAAAGCCCACGCATTTGCTAAAGCCCATTATATACGTGGTTTTTATTCAATCTTCATAATATTCCTCTACTGGTATTATTCTCTATATTACAGATAGGGAGAGAGGTTCAGGTTAAATTTCAGGGAGGAGTACAAAATTATTAACTAGTAGAGTCAGAATTAAACAAAGTTTTAGACATACTCAATACCTTTAAGTTTGAAATGCAGAGTACCATAATTTATAAACATATCTAAAAATATCAAGGCTTCTTGTGCTTCGTGTGGCCTTCATCTTTGGACATTTCACCACTTACTAGTACATAAACCCATGAAACAACTGCTTATGTGGTACTGAGAAGCCCCTAAGAAGAAACAGCCTTCTAATATCTTTACCTATATGAAATCAAGCATTGTGATTAACCAATTCATTTGCCAGTGAAAAAATAAACACTGCCTGGTTTCACTCTTTTTAAAGAACACAGTTCTGTAAAAAAAGAACTTAATGCAGAACAGCATCACATTTTTTCTAGCGAATAGCATGAGAAAATGTGGGAAGGACCCAGAAAGCTTAAGTTTCTTTCCCTGCTCAACAATTCTGATTTGACCTCAAGGCAAACTCAACTTGTTTCTATTTTAAAAAAAGAAAAAACCCCAAAGGCCTGGTATCTTAAAACTGAAGAGGCAATAATTAAGTTCAAATGCAGAAGTTTAAAAAAAAAAAAAAAAGATCTACTTTTATCCTTCCAAATTCCAATCCTCCATCAAGTATCTGATATAAAATCAGTCCTATGTTGTTTTCCCTATGGAGTAAGATTTAAAACACAGTAAATCCGCTGACTTGGTGTTTACTTTGTTAGAGGCTATATAAAGGATTTACTTCTTTTTTTTTTTAATGTTTTTATTTATTTCTAGGAGAGAGAGAGAGACAGTGTGAGCAGGGGAGGGTCAGAGAGAGAGGGAGTCACAGACCGAAACAGGCTCCAGGCTCCGAGCTGGCAGTCAGCACAGAGCCCGATGCAGGGCTCGAACCCACGAACCGCAAGATCATGACCCAAGCGAAAGTCGGACGCTCAACCGACTAAGCCACCCAGGCGCCCCTAAAGGATTTACTTCTAATCCAATCCCATTTTGCAGGATTTCTATCATTTCTGAAAAAAGGACAGAGTAGAGATAAAAGGACAGTGTTTTGAGTTATTGGACTAATATCCTAGAGCTCTGCCACTTTTAACAGCCATGTGACCTTGGCCAACTCAACTGCTCATAGACAATTTTATCTGAACAACAACTACCTTACAAGGTTATGGTGCAGAGTAAGAAACTATGTGAAGGGGCAGCCCAAAGAATTCAATAATTATTTTATATATATTAACTAATCAAAAAACCTACAATGTTAAATAAGAACCTGACTATAGTTCAATTTCCACATAGACATGCATGGCATCATCTCGTTAGCAGAGCCCTCATTGAAGATCTCACAGACTGTATCATATGCAGGTATTTTGAAGTGTATTTTCTTCCCGCTATACCTTGTCTTTTATCCCAGTCATCTTCACTCTATAGATTACCAGATTACTTCTAAAGAATTATTTCAGAGGACCAAAACACACATATGCATATGTGCTTCCCTTGTCATATAATAAATATGGAGATACCTATTTAAAATGCATCCTTTCTAAGAAAGTTAAGTTGAAAATGTATTATTCCTACATGGAAGTTTATTTCTTAATTTTACTTTTCCCATCCATTTAAAATTAAAAGCACTATATTGTAACTTAACATTCTGTTTGATAGTTCATTCCTTAAAGCTCATTTGTGAATTTTTCTAAGAATGTGTTTTCCTAGAGGTAGAAAGCTGGACAAGATGGCATGGGGCCATTACATTTTGTTACTCAGCCTTCAAAGTGCTCTGTGATTTTGCTTGCATTGTTTCAAGAAATTTAAAGAAGTTTTTGTATTTACTACTAAACCAGAGTTCAAGGTTTTAAAATAAACTTTACCAACAACATTCAGACTAAGGCCTACCAAAAGCAAAAACACAGGACTCCCTAGCACTCTAATTTGTAAGCCTTTTCCAACTACATGAAAATAAATTTGGTTCTTATTTCTGTCTATGGAGAATGCCATTTTCTTAGAAGAACGAGAAGAATTATACTTTTGGGAAAACTCAAGCTCATTAACATGTGTGTTTATCTCAGTAAAGTCAAGAACAATCCACTAGAGAGATGACTAGTTCTTATTCCCTTATTTCTACAATTGATAGAATTCCTCCCACTGCTCTGATCACTACAGAGAAAGCTTCCAGGCATAACATGCTCTCAGGTTCCACCTGAACCTACTGAAGTAGCATCTGCATGTTGAAGAACCACAGGTGATTTGTAAACATTAAAAAACACTAATCTAGACTGTGTGACCTGAAAAGCGAAAGCATTATGTACCTACTAAACATTTCCTAAGTGGCATTCAAAAGTAGACATGGATACTCTTGGAGCCTATCTAGTGAATGGCAGTTTAAAAATAATACAAAATTCTTATTTGAATAAATGGATGAATCCATAGGCTGAAAATGGAACACAAACTTTTGGCTTTCATTCATTCCTCTTTATTCCAAGTTTTTCTTAGATACAACAAAGGCTTACTAAGTAAAATTTTTTCTACATTTCAGAAGTCAGGGTATTTTACAGTCTTTAAATTATTTTAGTAGAGTTAACATATACCTTAATTCTGACAGAACAGCACTTACTACATATAGCATCATACAGAAAAAACTTTATAGAAATTAGGATCTTTACTAAAAGCCTAATATGATCATTATAACTAAATCTAGAACCTTCTATAGATTTTAACAGGGCCGTAGTGAATTTCCTCAGTGTAACATTGATCTCCTTGCATATTGATGCAATAATGATTATTTAAACAAGCACAAAACTTTCTACCTCTTCACATCTTTTACTTATCAGCTGGGCCCCAAGTCTTCTTAAAGCAATCCCCAGCCCTTTCAAAGAACATGTATCAACTACATGAAAACCAAAGAACTACGGGAGCAATTTTATTCTGCTTCCACACAAATTTTTATTCTATAAACTGATAAGAGTCCTAATTTTAAATCTTCAGATCTTTACCTTAAAACAACTTCCTAATTAATTTCACTAAACAATGACTGTCAATGGAACAAACTAACGGAAAACCCCCAAAGCACCAATGATGTAAACAGGAACTACAAAAGCTTATCCCTGGCAGAAGACCATGAAAGCGTACATACATACCAACTGTATGCACTATCAAGAAAATCTATTCCAATTTCTGACTCAATGATCAGACTGATTAGGAGAAAACTTTACCTTCATTCGAAAACTTTTTTAAAAATTTACCCCACAATGTAAAATCTTGATTACATACACCTTGTTTTACCTAAAAGAGTAAATTCAACTAGTATATTCAAATTTAGAACAATTTAAAATGATCACAATAGAACGCGTGCATCAAACTTAAATAAACACTAGTTTTATCCAAGGTGAACTCCTCCCCCCCACACCCATACAGGCTGGAGGTTTCAGTTGGCAACAATTCCCAACTCCAGTTTAAGATGTCACCTTGCCTTCTGGACACACCCATTGCTGTAACCACTTGGCAGACGGAAAGACAAAATAGGTATTGCAAATTACCGCCCTCATTAGGTTTTTTTTTTTTTTTTAAAAAACAGGAAAAAAACAGGAGTTCTGGTCTCGTATGACAGGAAAATGCTTTTAAACTTTCCTGGCTTCCCCCGCCCTGGGTATACCTGTATCACTACCGTATTTGACAGCCATTACTATACAAATGAATTGAACTGCACGTCAAGATGGTCTGGCAATTTCTGTAAGGAAATACGACTCCTTTTCAAGAGGGCTGGAGCGGAGGCATTGCCGTGTATGTGGTTAACTGTGGAGTGCACGTTGAGTACTCAAGAATAGGACATAGACACTGGCTCTTTTCCACTACTACAGGAGGGTAAAAGCAGTGACCCCAAAGCTCCTTTCAGTAGGCGAACAGGAGCTGGAGCGGATGACTTTCTCTAGACGTGCACTGTAAGGACGCGCCAGACTTCAGGTATGAAGTTCATTTCTTTCAATGACAAAGCCGCTTATAGAAAAAAGAATTAAAAAAAAAAAAAAAAACAACTGTCCAGCCATGGGTGGTGGTAAAGGCCCCATAGTCCAGATGGAGTGGAGTGATCAGGATTCACCGAGCTTCCTTCTCGCCACCAGAGGGGGATGGGAAACTGCCGAGGCCGCCCTCCCCCACCCATGCCCAACCAGCCAGGCCCGCAGCGCCGCGGGCCGAGACCTCCGCAGCTCTGCAGGTGCCAGCGCAGCAGCTGGGGCGCGAGCCGAGTCGAGCGGGCGGCGGCCCCGGCCCCGCCGCCCCGCCCCCCCCGGCCGCTCCCCGCGCTGCGCCGGCTCGGCCCACACAGCGCGCCGCGCCCGCTCGCGCGCCCCCCGGCGCCCCCCCTTCCCCGGCACGCGGGGGATGCGGGCTAACGGCGGCGCTGGCGCTCCCTCCCGCCCCCTCGGCGCATGGCGGCCGCAAGCGGACAAAGGCGCTTCCTGGCGCCAGGACTAACCGTCCGTTGGGCTTTTGAATCCGGCCCCGGGACTGACCTTTCGAGATGCCCGACCCGAGGCTTTTGCCCTGCCGCTCCCCACCCCCCGCCCTTCCACTCTCGCCTCCACCATGTGCTGGGCTGCCCCCCAACTCGGATATATCATCCTCGCCCGGCCAAGCTCCTGAGGAGCTTGGGGGCCTCGTAGGCAATGCTCCAAGACCCCAATACGCTAGGGGACTCCTCCCTGAGGAGGATAAGGATGGGGGAGCACCTGCGACGCAACCGCCGCGGAGCCCCCAGTCTCTTTCGCGCCATCCCTATGGCAAAGAACACTCCTGATCGATGTAGGGGAGCAGAGTTCCCTTTCTTTCACAAATTCGCTTCAGCCTCGTCCCCCCTCAGGCCAAGCGCCAGCAGCTTAGCGACGCACTCACCATGCTGCAAGCGCTACGGGTCTCCGAGAAGCGAACACACAACCACTCAGCTCGCTCGCCCCACTCGGACTAATTCTCCTCCTCCGCCCCCAGCGCCTCATAAACACCTCCCTCCGCCAGATCCCTCCGCCGCATGCCAGATAACGGAACATCGCAAACGAGTCCCGGCCAACCCCCTCCTCTCTAACTCTTTTCAGGACTCCTTTATCCACTGTTAATTTACTCGACGAGGCAAGAGATAAAGGGAAGCGGGCGAACGAATGACGTAAGTGGGTTTCACTCCCCAGCCAGCCTGTTAAAAGGCCGGTGGAGTCGCGCTCGAAGGGCCCTACTTTGCGGCGCGGAGGAGCATCGTGTTGGAATTTTGTGGCCCAACGATCGTTGAGACGGCCTCCGATTGGCTGGTTCGTACCTGCAATGCGTCACTCGGCCTCGCTGCCGCCGCTGGGACGCGGTGCGGCTTCTGCTGTTGCCGGTCTGGCCGCGCTGTCCTGGCAACTGCGCCAGGCGGCAGAGTCACTTTTCTTGCGCTTGGCTGGAGAACCTTCCTCCTCCACCCATCCTTCTCTCCCACACTCGCACACACACTTTCCCGCCCCTTGTGTAGGGGGAGGCGAAAACACCTTAGGCGTATAAAGAGTGACGCTGAAAGACCCCAGGAAACCTGTGCCCCGTGCACAGCTTCTGGGCCTCGTGGAGGTCACGCGTTTTCCATTTCACTCCTTCACGAAACCAATAAAATCTAGGTAAGGATAAATGCAGCTACCTCGTTGAAGAGACTTAATCCGAGAGGGTCTTGCGTGTAGACTTGCCATGCACCTTTCTTACCAGGGAGTCCTTTCCCAGAAAAGTCATTCAGAAACCCCGTCTCCGAGATTCTGTGGGATTAGTCACCCCAATAGCCCCTTGATAGTGGGGAATACCAGGGTCCCCATCTGCAGTCAGACCTGGGTACAAGTGTTGGTTGGTCCGCTTTGTTAAATGTGTGATCTTGGAAGAGTCATTTAATCTTTAGCCTCATTTGTAAATTGGAGGTAATACTTATCTCAAAAGCTTATCATAAGGATTAGAGTAATAGGAAAGTTAGATTAATGTAAAATGTTGAAGTATCGGGCGCAAGGGAAGCACTCAACAGGTGGTCACTGTAATATACCTTCCCCTCGTAACAAATGTGCCCCTTTAGGTCTGCAATCTCTCAGATTTAAATGGGCATTTAAAAAAACATGTAAGAGTTCACTCCTTGGAATGAGAACCCTTGTGCACTGTTGGTGGGAATGTAAAGTGGTACAACCACTGTGGAAAAACAGTATGGCAGTTTTTTTTAAAGGGTTAAAAATTAAAAGAGAATTCCCATATAATCCAACAATTCTACTTCTAGGTAGGTACCCAGAAGAAAAAGTAGCATCTTGAAGAGCTATTGGTATGCCCACGTTTAAGGCAGCGTTATTCACTGTAGCGAAAATTTGGAAGCAACACAAATGTCCATCAGTGGGATGGATAAGCAAAATGTGATATGTACATACAATAGAATGTTATTCAGCCTTGAAAAGGAAGGGAATTCTACAACATGCCGCCACATGAATGAAGCTTGAGGACGTTATGTGGTAAGTGAGAAATAAGCCAGTCACAAAAAGATACTGTATGATTCCATTAATCTGAGGTACTTAAAATAGTCAAAATCACACAGAGACAGGTAGTAATCTACTAGGGACTTACCAGTAGATTATTAGATTGTGATTACCAGGGTCTGGGGCAGGGGGGCTGGGGAGTTACTGTTTAATGGGTATGGAGTTTCATATCTACAAGTGAAAAGAGTTAGAAGGATGGATGGTGGAGATGTTTGTACATTATGGATGTATTTAATATCACTGAACTGTACACTTAAAAATGGTTAAGGTGGTCAATTTTATGTGTATTTTAAGGCACACATTTTTTTTTTAATTAGCTCCTTAGTCCCACCCCCAAATAAGTAAGGGCATTCATAACCTGGAACATTTAATAATCAGGTCGTGAACACCTACTGTGTGAATTCTATTTGACTGCAACGTAATTGTTACCATAAAAGGAGTTTACAAGGCACAAAGGAGAGGACCTTAGCTTACCACAGAGGTTCCAAAAAGGATTTCTGAAGAAGATAACTCCTAAATTGAGTCTGCTATGATAAATGGTCTAGGAAACAATCAAAAGGCAAAGAGGAAGAGAGAAACAAGTTCCAGATGAAAGAAAACAGAGCAAAGGCCTAGAGACATGCAGTTGATTGCGTGGCACGGTGGAAGAGCTGCCAGTGGTTAGACATTACTAGAACTAGCCAGGCACAGGAGAGGGTTGCTGGGAAGTTAGGAAGGAACTAGGGTTTAATGCTCAGACTGCAGTTCCTCAAGAAGGTTGTTGGTAGAGCTGCTGTCCAGAAGGAATCATCTTAGGCCACACTAAGCCTTAAAATTTCCCAGTAAAAAGCATAGGCCTGTGGACCCCTGAAACCTAAGTGACCAGCATTTTTAGCAGGCCAAGGTGAAACCTTGCCTACTGAGAAGAAGGTTGCCCAGCAAGACCAAGATGTTTTGTAACTGCTCTCTGCACATACTTGGAAAGCTTCAGTGGAATTTAACATCCTTTAGCCTATTTAGACATTTCTTTCTACCATCAAAAGTATTTACTAGGCCAAGGATGGATCCTCTTTCTTTCAGTCATGCAAATCAAACATAAAGTAAATGCTTTTTCAATTAGTATTGGTGGCACTATGACTTTCCTTTCAGATGAATGACTATTTAATGAAAACTCAGGATCCTGTGCTTCTGTTGTCCTTGCTAATGTAGTGATATGATGAGGCAGGGGTGGGGGAGGTAATTAACTTTATCACACAAATGAAATACCATTGAGAACGTTGGTTAAAAGTGGGTACCTCTGCTTCAGAATCTGAGCTATGGCCCTATGGCCATGGTTCCTGTACTCTTCATTCTGGTAGCTCCCAAGTCTTCCAAGGCATTTATTCCTCAGAAATTTGTCTCTGATTCTTGCTCAGATGGAAGAGCCATCAACAAGCTTTTCTCTCAGCTTAGTCACTAAAAATATTCTCTCTTCACACAGTACCCCATCAGCATGCATGATTTTACATATGAAATTTTTAATGATAGGAAATTGAATGACAAAATGAATAATCACCTCTTCTAGAAAATGAATTTTTAAAAGGATTCATGTATAACGTATAATGCAAAAGCTTAAGTGTAATATACGGGTGCATGCTTAGAGTTGTAGGTATTGAATCAATAAGCTTTTAAACAAATACTTGGTAATGAAGCATGTCAAAGAGACTACAGGAAAGTTCTTGGTTTCTTAGGCTGAATTTCAGTAAGGCCTCTCTTGCAGAAACTTCCTTGCTGATCTCTCCAAAATGAGAAAGAAAATGAGAAAAAAGTCAAGACTTACATTTAAAGCCATTGTGGTTTATGTGTATTTGAGACTGTTCCAAGTCAATTTATTTATAGAGCATTTGTCTTCCACAAGATGACATACAGTGCAGCGTGACTTTGGCAATTGCCAACTGAGAAGCAAAGTTGATGACAACCATCACGTCAAAGCCACGGAGGTGATTGGTTGTCTTTCTTTTTCCCCTTCCTGACTGGTGAGATCTCACAGCCTTCTACCTTTGTCCATCTTGGGAAAATGAGAATGCACTTCCTCTCCAGGCCCCAGTTCCTCAATTTGCAGAGCACAGATAACACAAGCCCCATCCTTTGATATTTCTTTCCCATAGTTTCTCTCCTCCAGCCAGCTGTGCTAACCAACAAGGGTAGAGGCCGATCAGAGCAGCATTCTTGATTGTAGGTCCCATGTCATTCTTGACAGGTGAAAGAATTAAGCCCTAAATGCCCTAAGGCATCAACAGTATGCATCAGCTATGCTCCTATGCATCTAAAATGGCACTTGTATGTCAATTTTGAAAGAATTGAGAAAATAGTACTCAAATCATTTTCTTGTTCTGTGGATCGGATAAGGCCCCCTGGTTGAGAAGGTGCAGCTGTCCTTTACAAGGATTATGGGGCAGAGCAGAGCTGGGACAGGAATCCAACCAGGTCATGAGAATGTCTTACCCACAGCATCCTTAGTTCGTTAAGAGGTAAAAAGAGTATGGAAAGGACATCCTGTATGGGCTTATCCTCGTATACACACAGGAAAAATTGAGGGCCATTAGCTTTGATATTGACCTACTGCCTTTTATTTATTTGCTCATTCAAAAAAATTGAGATGTCATTTTAGGGTGACCATCTAGGTTTGCCTAAAGCTGAAGGTTTTCTGGGACATAGGACTTTCAGTGCTAAAACCAGACAGTTCCAGGCAAACCAGTATGATTGGGCACCTTAGAAACTGTGACCACTCAATCAGTAAATACCAGTAGCCTACTACTTGCTGAATGTGCAGTGATAAGAATGAGCATAGGAGACTACGGGAGTATGTAGGAGGATAACCTAATGGGCCAAGGGAATGATTTCCTAGAGAATGTGATATATAGCAATTTGAGTAGAGAGAGAGAAAAAGGAGAAGGTGTTTGAGGCAGGGAGAAGACGCACAGAGGAATGAGATATCATTACCACCTCCATCATTGACATCATCATTAGCACATTCACAGCCACTGATGATTGAGTGCTCACCATGGGCCAGGCACTGTGCCCATCACATTACATACATTGTCCATATTGTTGACCATTTCATTCCTCATGAAATACTCTTCTCTCTTGGCTTCGGGAATGACCCCTTCCTAGTACCTCTACTTCTCTGGCAGTTTCTTTCAAGCTCCTTGGCTGGCTCCTGCACCTGTCACTTAAAAGGTAATGTGCCTCCAGGTTTAAGTCATGGCTCTCTTCCTTGTGACTTTTGACACCTGCCCTGAGCAAACTCCGCACTCCCATAGCATTGTTTCAGTGCTGATGACCTCCAAATATGGGTGGCCAGAGGTAAAGTCTTCCCTAAATTCCTGATTGTATTTCTGGCCACTCAGGCTGGCCCTAACATTTGTGGGCTCAGTCAAGAGTACAAACTGAGTCTTATGTAGCATATGTTAAATATGCTCAAGTTAACAAACAAATATGCTCTGTTCTTCTACCTTGACAGAAACTTTCTTTTTTTTTTTTTTTTTTTATATTTTTATTTTATTTCTAGGAGAGAGAGAGAGAGACAGCATGAGCAGGGGAGGGTCAGAGAGAGGGAGTCACAGACTGAAACAGGCTCCAGGCTCTGAGCTGGCTGTCAGCACAGAGCCCGACGCGGGGCTCGAACCCACGAACCGCGAGATCATGACCTAAGCGAAAGTCGGACGCCCAACCGACTAAGCCACCCAGGCGCCCCTGACAGAAACTTTCTTAATCACCCAAAGGGCCGTGGCCAATGTTAGAATCTTGGACTCACCGACCAAACTGTGGAAGTATAAGGAAGTCATCCTCTAACCCACAGCCTACCTGTTTCTCTTCTCACCCCCAGCTCCATCCACACTGGGAGAGGTCTTGCATTCACTTGTGTGGACATTATGGTCTTGAGCAGGCTCTATCGATAGCCCCACAAATAGTTGCCTCTTGTCCATCCTTCAGGGCCTAGAGACATGCACCCTAGAGACACAGTTTGCTCTTTGGAGAGTGGACCTGAGGAGCAAGCCTACATGGGAAGCAGGGTCAGTGCTATTTGATCAAGGAATCTCCTAATCCTAGGGACAGAGAATAGTCTTAAGGGGTGGGGAAATGTGGGTTCTAGGTGGGATGTCCTCTTGGCCCTTTATCTAGAGGTATATTTGAAGGAGGGCCACAACCAGGCTCTCTAAAGGGAGGCTAGGCCAGAGCCCTCTCTTGCACTCCTGAAAATGCCTACTGGCAACTCTTCTGGAGGTCCCCAGGCCCTAAAACCACATCCAACCTGAACCTCTCATATTTTCACCCCAACCTGTGCACCTCCCTCTACCCTGTCACCCAAGCCACACTGAACTATTTGCAGATATCTGCATACACTACACTGTTTTCTACTCTTTGTCTTTCCTCGTGCTGCTCCTTCTGCCTAGAACATTCTTCTACACTTTTCCACTCATCCTTGGCACAAGCATCATATACCCTGTGATGTCTTCCTGATCCACCAGCCATCTCCCCTTAGCCCAAAGAGAAATAATCACTCTCTCTCAAAATATCCTTACAACACCTTATGGTTCTATTTCCTTATAAGTTGGCGACACCACCTGAGTCCCTTAAGGGACCATAATTTATGTTTGCATGCTTATCACCTTGCTTCGTGCAGGGACCCAGTTGATGCCCAGTAAATTTTGTCGAATGAATAAGTAGATGAATGGACAAAGATATTATCATTTTCCATTTTCCTTTTCCACGTGGCTTTTAAAAATCACTCAGAAAATTATTATAAAGTGTGAGTTGTCTTATAAATAATAAAGCAGGGCACCTGGGTGGCTCAGTCAATTAAGTGTCCAACTCTTGATTTTGGCTCAGGTCGTAATCTCACCATTCATGAGATCGAGCCCCACATCGGGCTCTGTGCTGACAGCATGAAACCTGCTTGGGGTCCTCTCTCTCTGCTCCTCCCTTGCTTTCACATGCTCTCTTTCTCTCTCAAA